GGGTCTGGGCTGGTCCAGACCCCCCAGATTTACTAGGCAGTCACTTCTCAAGAAGAAAAATCTTTGACCCAAATGAAATAATTCCACTGCTGGTGGGAGCCTCAAGCAAGTGTCCATTTCCCTGAAGACTTTATTGGGGTGCCAACCCAAACTCAGTTGGATTTTGAGGCACGTTTTCAGCTCATTTATTGTTTTGAAAAACGCCAGTCTGGTGGCATTATCAGGAAACTGAGGAGATACAGCAGGAATGTCTTTGCTGAGCGTGATTTTCTGCAGGAAGCTGTGCTGATTAATGCTAAATTTATTTAGGAATAGAGTTTGGCCATGGCTGTGTGCCTCTCCAAAAAATCCTGTTGGGTCCTTTCTCCACCACACTCACATGTTTTGCTGGAGTTGCTGTTGCATATGCTTGGGCAATAAAACATTTACAGCTATTTCAGAAATTGCTGCAGCGGGCAGTTTTCCTCATTAATTTGACCATTCTGGATGGGATTTCACGAGGTGTGAAGGCGTGCAGAGTCGTACCTGACACTGCCCCTGCTCCTGCTTGTAATGCCAACCTCCTTGAGGAAAAAATGAAATCCGAAAGGGATGTTTGGGGGGAAATGGAAGTGGCAGCTCCACATCCAGTGATCAGCCAGGAAATCACAAAATATCCTGAGCTGGGAGGGATCCACAAGGATCATCCATGTCCTGCAGATTTACTCTGATTGTTCTTTGCTTCTTCTTGCCCAAGACTATGGAGACTTTAAAATACCTCCGGGAGCCTGCAGGGAGCAACGGGCTATAAAAATATAACAATAATGATTTCTTCCTCCCGCCTCCATCTGAGCAATCTCTGAGCGTGTTTCAAATATCAAAGAGCAAGAAACCCATTGTAGTGCTGTCCCCTGGGTAAAGGTGGGAAAAGGAGGCCCTGAGAGGTGGAAGGAATTCCACAAGGCTAAATGGAAACCCAGCAGACAGACTTGAGGGCAGGCTTTGGGTTTTGTCCCCATTTTGGGCAGAATTTTTTTTGAATCTGTGCCCAAACGCTTCATATCTGGTCAAGATTTGGATGTTTCCTGCAGAAATGCAGAAAGAGAAAGATGTTTCCTTCTCTCCCATTTTAAAATGATGCCTGCACTAAAATATCACTACCACAGTGACAAATCAAAGAATTCTCTGCTCCATCTTCTATCCCAGAGCTGCACCTCAGCCTGACTCTCCTGGAAATATTAAGACAGATGATGGATAGGGACAGGTCAAAGCAGAGACGATCTGGAATTATTCTTTTCACATCCCAAAAGAATGAGCTCGTGTTATTCCTCGCTTTCAAATTTGCCCCAATTTATGGGGTAGATAAGGCTGGAATTTTGAAGGGCAGCATCATGAATTGCTTTTCTTATTGATCGAGCTTTTAATGCGCCAACAATGAAAACAATAAAACTTGCATTTAAAAACAAACATTTCTAGCACAGAAGCTGCATTAAAATGACACAAATTGCTTTTGTGGGCTGAATTCAACAGAACACCCATGAGGTTCCACTTAAAAACAACAAGCCAACAAAAATCAAATTGCATTGTTTTACAGGCAAACAAAATGGTGAGCGCGCCTTGGGCTACGTTTTCAGCGTGTTTTCTTGGGAGATCAAAGCTTAAATCCCATTAACCCTTCACATGTCAGCCTGGTGAGTTCCTCTCCTTCACCTCTGAGCTTCTGGTGCTGCCTTCAGCAGGGAGCCAGGCTGGATCTGCTGCTCTTCCTCCTCCTCCTCCTCCTCCTCATCCTCCTCGTTTCCCCACCAGCATCTCCACGGAAGCAGCACCTTGTAATGGGCAGAGTTCAAACAGCCCCTTCAGCCAGCCCACATTGCCTCAACTTTACTGACTGAAATCTGGCCACAAGCCAGCACTCAAATACATTTATTTTGGTTTTTACCATTCACTGTGGTGTCCCAGGTTTAGTTTTCTATTTTTCAGGTTCTGTGCTGCTTTAGTGTGTGGGTCTGGGTTCACACCAGGGCATGGTGAGCTCTGTGCACAGAGCAGGGAGACAAAACAATTCCTGCTCCAGCTGGGCACCAAGGACAAATGATCCAAATCTCAGCCCCAAGAACACAAACAATGGTGAATTTAAGAGAGAAAAACAAGCAGGGTGGGACTGCAGGGGCTAAAGCTGGAATGGGACAATGAACTGCAAGGTGCAAACGGAGCAGAACTGATCCCAGGGAGAGACCCCGGGAGCGCTCGTGCATTTTGGGGCCATTTTGGTTCATCCTGGGTTCATTTTGGGCCCATTTTGGTTCACTTTGGGTGCATTTTGTGATCATTTGGGTTCACCTTGGGTTCATTTTGGGACCATTTTGGTTCATCTTGGGTGCAGACCTGCCTGGGCTCTTGTGCTGCCCAAGGTCCATCCATTGAAATTATTCTTTTAATAAATCCCTGCTTTATTCTGTTACTCTGTCTGATCTCTGTTCTAGGTCAGCCTTCATTACCCTCCTGGCAAGTGGCTGAATGATGCTTTCTTGGCCAGCAGAGCCATTTTGGAGCAAATTAAGATTTGTTGGGTGCTTGTTAAAGACCTTTTGGACATCAGGTATGTTGGTGATGGATTGGTGTTGGTTGGTCACTCATAGTGAAGGAAAGCTGATTTAATTTGGGGTTTGTCACCTGTGCCAATGACCACTGGGCATCTCACTGCTTCCTAAATAAATAAATGCCCACAAGATGCCACTTCCTGAGGGTTTGCTGCTTTCTTGGGGACAACAAATGAATATTTTGCACAAATATTCCTGTTCCACGTGGTGGCCAGATCCTAATCTGCCTTCACCGTCATTTCCCTGCTCTGCTTGGACCATGTGTTGTGTGTAAATACAAAAACCCTTCCAAGCATTGTCAATTCCAAATATCTGCGAGTCCAGGTGCGTCACAAAGATCAGGAAGACAGAACAGATGCAGCATTTTGGGACTGGTTTGGGAGCATGGGAAAAATCTGGGAGCAGGGAAAAGTTTGGAACCATGGAAAGGTTTGGGAGCAGGGAAAGGTTTGGAAGAATGGAAAGGTTTGGAGAGCAAGGTTTGGGGAGCAGCAGCATTTTCCACCTTGTGGAACTGGTTTGAGAGCAGGGAAAGGTTGGGGAGCATGGAAAGGTTTGGAATGCTTTGGGATTTGGATTATTTGGGAGCAGGGCAAGATTTGGAAGGTGGAAAGTTTGGTAAAACAGCAGCTTCTCCCCCTTTTGGGACTGGTTTGGAAGCATGAAAAGGTTTGGGAGCATGGAAAGGTTTGGAGAGCAAGGTTTGGGGAGCAGCAGCATTTTCTCCATTTTGGGACTGGTTTGAGAGCATGGAAAAGTTGGGGAGCATGGAAAGGTTTGGGATGCTTTGGGATTTGGATTGTTTGGGAGCAGGGAAAGATTTGGAATATGGAAAGGTTGTGGAGCATGGAAAGGTTGGGGATCATGGAAAGGTTGGGGATCATGGAAAGGTTGGGGATCATGGAAAGGTTTGGGATCATGGAAAGGTTTGGGGAGCAAGGTTTGGGGAGCAGCAGCATTTTCCACCTTTTTGGGACTGGTTTGAGAGCAGGGAAACATTTGGGATCATGGAAGGGTTTGAGGAACAGCAGCTTCTCCCCCTTTTGGAACTGGTTTGGGAAGCAGCAGCATTCTGCACTTTCTGGAGCTGGTTTGGAAGTATGGAAAGGTTTGGGGAGCATGGAAAGGTTTGAGAGCATGGAAAGGTTTGGGGAGCAAGGTTTGGGGAGCAGCAGCATTTTCCCTTTTTTGGGACTGGTTTGAGAGCAGGGAAATGTTTGGGATCATGGAAAGATTTGGGGAGCAGCAGCATTTTGCCCCTTTTTTGGGACTGGTTTGAGAGCAGGGAAATGTTTGGGATCATGGAAAGGTTTGGGGGAGCAGCAGCTTCTCCCCTCTGAATTTCTGGGAGCTGCAGGATTCATCCCCCCCAGCCTGTGCTGATACTCAGAGTCCCATCAGATGCTTGAAGCACTTGGAAACTTTCCAGCAGCAAGGGGTCAAAAGGGAGGAATTTTTTTTCCATGAAATCCATAAAAAAAAAAATCAGAGAAAGGAAGGGGAAGGAGGAGGCTGAAGCGAGGAGCTGTGGCAGAGGTGGAATGGCCCAGCTCACCCAGAGCAAGCTGCATTCCCCTTGCAGGGCCCCCTGTGCACATGCCAGAGCTGCCTGCAGCAATGTGCAGCTCCAGTGCCAGCCCCCAGCTGTGTCCAGCTGTGTCCAGCTGTGCCTCCCGCCCCTCACCACTGCATCTGCACACAGCAACTGCCCCTGTCCAGAGGGCTCCCAGCTCATGGCTGCAGCCTGACAGCGCTGGGAGGTGTTGGGAGGCAGTTTGGGGATATTTAGGAGTGCCAGAGCTTGTTCTTGCACATAGGAAGGTTTTATTGCTTCCCCTTCAGTGCAAACTCAGCTGAGTCTTTCCCTTCAATTTCCCCTTTTGCTACTGGGATGAGGAAATGAAGAGAAAGGAGGGAAACACCAAAAAAAAAAAAAAACCAGCAAAAAAAAAAGCAGTGGAAACCCAAATCTATCTGCAGACAGCTGATTTTGCCTTTTCAGACACAATTTGAGAGGAGCAGGGAGGGGATTGCCTGTGCCACCCTCTGCCAGGGGTTCTGTCTCTGCAGCTCTGCAGCTCTTGCAGAGACTTGTCCCAAAAAAATGCACATTCCACAGCCAGAGCTGCCAGGACGCTGCTTTTGCCTCACTTTTCCAGGGGATTTCAGGAGCGTGGGGAGCTGCCTGGAAACCCAGATTCCAGGAGAATTTCCCTGCACAATGGGTTGCATTTAAAGAGGTTTGCTCCAAATGCAGCGCGGTGGTCGAGCCCAATTTCCAATGAAAAATGAAAAATTACTAAATGAAAAATTATTAAATGAAAAATTTCCAATCACTAAATGAAAAATCATTTAGTGTTGTATGATCTTTTTCTTTTTTTTTCCCACTAATCCCATCATCATTTTTGTGCTCTGCTGGTTTGAAATGCAGCTCCTTGCCCTGGTGCCAGCCTGCATGGGAGAAAGGCTGACTTGGGCACTGGGTGGCAAATTCCAGGATTCCCAAAATCCTTTCAATCCAATTGAACAGGGATATTCCCAACTCTGAGGGAATATCCCCAAAGCAGCTCTGAGGCTGCTTTTCAATGAGTTGGGAATCTCCCTGTTTTGTCCTTTCTGAAGGATGTCCTTGCACGGTGGCCAAGTCCAATTTCCAACAAAAAATTACTAAACGAAAAATTTCCAATGACTGAATGAAAAATAATCTAGTTTTGTATGATTTTTAATATTTTTTTTCTCCCTAATCCCATCATAATTTTTCTGCTCTGAACCCCTCTGCTGGTTTGAAATGCAGCTCCTTGCCCTGGTGCCAGCTTGCATGGGAGAAGGGCTGACCTGTGCCTTTCCCAGCATTCCCAAAATCCTTTCAATCCATTCCCTGCTCTGAGGCTGCTTTTCAATGAGTTGGGGATATCCCTGATTTGTCCTTGCTGTGGGATTATGGATGTGATTCCACAGTGGAAATTTGGATTTTGCTTCCATTTGAGCGTTGCTGTGATGCAGCATAGAAAATCACCCCTTTATGGGGTTCTGGTGGTGCTTTTGGGGTGGGAATTTGGGATCCCACCCCACAGGGTGGTCCTGGCCTCTCCTTTACCCCACAGACACGCTGAGCTTGGCCAAGCTGAGCTTTCCCCCAGCTCCGCGTTCCCACACGCAATTCCTGTACAAGAAATTAATATATCTCGGGCTTTTTTCCTTTTGGGATTGCCAGGGAGTGAAGGCATCAAACCAGCAGGACCTGGTGGGCTCCAGAGGCATCCTGGAGCCATTAGATATGGCTGGCATTTGATCCAACAACTGAGCCTTTCCTGGTTTATGGATTCCCCTATTTGTGTCCACATACACACAATGGGCCCCATTATCGACCCCAGAGCAGGGCAGATGTTTCCCACCCCAAAAAATCCATTTCTCTCAGGCTGACACCCAGAGGACCTCCAAGGTGCACGTTTCTGGGGTTTATGGACATTTGGGGAGCAGAGAATTCCCTCCCTGCGTGGTTTGCTCACGTTCCCATCAGGAATAAAAGCTGGGATGGTGGAAAGGAGCGGCTGCTCTCAGCTGGAGCCTGCTCAGGGCTCTGGGCTTGGGCACACCTGGGTTTGGGAGAGGTTTTGTCCATTAAAATAATCTCCTGATTGTGGGTGTTGGTTAAAAAACGCTCTTGGAGGGGATGGGATTGGTGTGCAAGTGGTTAAAAAGGGAATTTAAAAGGGGTTCAGTCGGTCTGAAAGGGGATCTCTGTGTTTAAAAAGAGAATTTGAGGTTTTAAAAGGGGGTTTGAGGTTTGAAAAGGGCTCAGCTAGGTCTGAAAGGAGGTTTCTAGGCCTAAAAGAGATCTCCAGTTCTGAAAGGGAATCTCTGGATCTAAAAAGGGATCTCTGGTTCTAAAAAGGGAATTTGAGGTTTTAAAAGGGAATTTGAGGTTTAAAAAGGGCTCAGCTAGGTCTGAAAGGAGGTTTCTAGGCCTAAAAGAGATCTCTAGGTCTGAAAGGGAATCTCTGGATCTAAAAAGGGATCTCTGGTTCTAAAAAGGGAATTTGAGGTTTAAAAGGG